CAGGGTCCTGGGACCGAGCCCCGCATCTGGCTCCCTGCTCGGCGGAAAGCCTGCTTCTCCCTCTCCCACTCCCCCTGCTTGTGTTCCTTTTCTGTCTCCACTGTCTCACTGTCTCCACTGGCATGGAACATCTTTTTATATATTTATTTGCGATCTATATACCCTCTTCAGTGAGGTGTCTGTTAAGTCTCTGACCCATTTTTTATCGGGCTGTTTTCTTGTTGAGTTTTAAGAGTTCTTCATATATTTTAGGTAACAGTCTTGTATCAGATATGTCTTTTGCAAATATTTAATCCCAACCTGTGGTTTGTCTTCTAATTCTCTCGGACAGTGTCTTTCAGAGAGCACATGTTTTTCATTTTAACGAAGTGTACCTTATCAACTATGTCACAAATCATGTCTTTGTTACTGTATCTAAGAAGGCATCACCACTTTTTATTCAACATCTGAGCAAGGCTGCAGGTGTGGCCGCTGCTCTCCAAGCTTCGCAATGCCTCCCAAGGACGACAAGAAGAAAGATGCCGGAAAGTCGGCCAAAAAAGACAAAGACCCAGTGAACAAATCTGGGGGCAAGGCCAAAAAGAAGTGGTCCAAAGGCAAAGTTTGGGACAAACTCAGTAACCTGGTCTTGTTTGACAAAGCGACATAAGACTAACTCTATAAGGAAGTTCCCAACTATAAGCTTTTAACTCTAGCTGTTGTCTCTGAGAGACTGAAGATTTGAGGTCCTCTGGCCAGGGCAGCCCTTCAGGAGCTCCTTAGTGAAGTACTTATTAAACCGGTTTCAAAGCACAGAGCTCAAGTAACTTACACCAGAAACACCAAGGGTAGAGATGCCCTAGCTGCTAGTGAAGCTGCATGAACACAGCCCACCAACTGTACATTTTGGAAAATAAAAATTTATTAAATCAAAAATAAAAAGGCATCACCATACCCAAGGTCATCCAGGTTTTCTCCTATGTGATCTTCTAGAGGTTTTATTGTTTGGGGTTTTACTTTTAGGTCTGTGACCATCTGAGATAGTTTTAGTAAAGGGTATAAGGTCTGTCTAGATTCCTTTCACATGTGGATGCCCAGCTGTTCCAGCACCATTTGTTGAAGATATTATCTCTGCTCCACTGTATTGCCTTTACACCTCTGTCAAAGATAAGTTGACTATATTTACGTGTGTCTGTTTAGGGCTCTCTATTCTATTCCACTCATCTATTTGTCTATTCTTCTGCCAATACTACACCATCTCCATGACTGTAGCTTTACGGGAAGTCTTGAAGTTGGGTAGCATCAGTCCGCCAACTTTGTTCTTCCCCTTTAATACTGTGTTGGCTTTTATGGATCTCTTGCCTCTCTATATAAACTTTAAAATCAGTTTATCAATATCCATAAAATAACTTGCTGGGATTTTTACTGGAATTGCACTGAATCAACAGATCAAGTTGGGAAGAAGTTGACATCTTCACAATATTGATTCTTCCTATGCCCTTCACACATTTTAAATCAAATAAAGAGTGGTTTTAGCACTGTCTCAACACCCTTATGGCATCTCCACAGGCCTCCAGGTACCGTACTACCTTGTTACCTTAAGCCTCTCTCTTCCTTCCTCACCTCCTCTCCCCCCACCACCCCACCTGCCCTTCATCTAGTGTTCTCTCGGTGTTGCTGATATCAGCCTAAGACAGAAAAGCAAAGGGACTATTTATTATTTATGAGCCAGGGCCTATACCAAATCCTTTACCGATAAATTTACATGTCAACCAACCACCACAGGATTCATTCATCTGATACATTCTCCTTTTCTTCACTCTTGTCAATTCGTAAACCAACCCAAATAGGATTTAGTAGTAGGCACCCACACCTCCACCACCTCTACTTGTCTACTTTCTCCTTTCTTCCCCCCACCCTTTTTTTCGGTTATAGGCCAAAAAGCAAGTCTCTCTAGGCTTCCTTTAAATGCTTCTTCACAATACTAAACCAAAATTCAGTATTCATGATGCAAAGGCCTTAAGGATGAGTAAGTGATTTCTCTATATTCCCTTGAAGGAATTCCTTCAGGCTAGAAATGAAAGCTAATGGTACTAGGATATAAAATATTCACCAAAAATATTTTCAGATTTGTACTGGAAGGCGAGCTCTTTAGGTTCTTTCAAAGAAATATTCAGAAAGGGGAAATCCCAAAACACTCAACTGGCTGAATTGAAGAGGTGCCAGAGAAACTGAATGAGCCTAATGTCAGAGAAGATCTAGGGTGCTCAAAGGGCCATCTGCTTGCACAGGGTCAGTGTGCCTCAAAATCTACACATGCCAAGTGAATAGCTTACATCTGCTGAAAATCTGCAATGTACAAAGGGACAGAGGTTATTGAGCTGATAAGAGACAGAATATCTAAGTATTCTTCCATGTGCTAAAATGTTAAAACTGACTTCCAGCCTTAGTCTAACCCTGGCCAACGTATCAGCTTTGGATTAAGGCATTATCAACTGCAGTTCAAGATAAAGCCAACTGTTCCAGTCTCCTCCAAACATCAAGGACCTACTGGCTGAATTATCTACAGATACAGACTTTTCAAGCCATCCAGAGCTCTAAGGAAGAAATCCAAACTAGGAATTTCAGTAAATGCTCCATTTGGAGGAGGCAGCACCTGACAGCTACGACCCTTTTTGATCAACAGCTTCTTATTAAAACAAAAAAACAAAAAAACTACTACACATTTGCCATTGGGTGAATAAAGGACAGGAATTTGGAAAGCAAGGGAAACAGGAAAATAGACAGGCACAAAGTTGTCTAATTCTCTTGTGGCAGGATTCCTGAACAAGGGAAGGTCATCTCTCATGTATTTCTAAAAACTTACTCTACCCCCATGATACTTACCAGTGAAATTAATTTCAGAATACAATTATAAAAATGTGCTCTTATTTTAAAAGGAAGATAATGCTTTTCACCCCTCAATCAGGAAAGCAAAATGTCATTCATTTTTCTAGTGATGCTCTCCCTCCTCCTTTTCAAACTGATGATCCCTCAGCAAAGGGGGATGGTATAATCACAGAAACAGAGCTCAAATAAGCCACCTGGGTAGGGAGGGGATACAGTTTGTGACTAAGAGCCAGAAGGAAACTAAGTGATACACATGGGGATTGAACCTCTGAACTCTTGTTTTCCTTAGGATATGCCTCAATAGCCAGCGTTACAATAAACGTTCCCAGTAACAAAGACATCACTACAGAGAAAGAAAACTGGTTCATGACAGTGGGAGTCAAAAACTCAAGAGTTCACACTGAGTACTCCCACTCAAATCATTTCTGTATCTGAAACCAGCATTCAAAATTTCTAGTACACGTTAATTTATATACAAAAAACGGTGGAAAATATTTACTAATACATCAATTGTTAGTAAACCTGGATTTATGTCTTAGCTGCTATGTGGGGACCTTGGTCACAATTCATCAAACTTCCTTAAAACGTGACAATCTCAGGTGCCTGGGTAGCTCAGTCAGTTAAGCATCTGCCTTTGGCTCAGGTCATGATCCCAGGGTCCTGGGATCGAGCCCGGCGTTAGGCTCCTTGCTCAGTAGGAAGTCTGCTTCTCCCTCTGCCCCCTCCCCTGCCCCATGCTCTCTCTCGTTCTCTCTCTCAAATAAAATCTTAAAAAAAAAACCCAAAAAAAACCCAACTTGACACTCTCTATAATAAGTTAAGCTATCCCTCAGGGATTGTTACTGTTACATCAGGGAACAGAATGCTCAGAAGAAGCTTAAACTCTTTGGAAGATGGTAAAAAATTCAAGATGGTGGTTAATGGATTCCGAGGCCATTCACACTGTTCCACAAAGAATAGCTGCTGGTACCCAATGCATCAGTCTCAAACTCTCAAAGACACAAAAGAGCCAGACTCACCTTACAAACTGATCTCGTCCACCCACTGCAAACTGGTGGGTATTGGCAGGATTCACATAGATCGTATACAGTCCCACTTTCTTCTCCTTCTCTTTTGTCACCACCAGTTTCCTTTAAGAGTAGAAAAGTGTAAAAGTTATATTCTCTAAAAGACCAGGATGGTCATGGCAAGAGAGAGCACAGAGAGTAATGCAGACACAGCTGCTAGTAAGACCAGATTCTCAATGAGAAAGAAAGAAAAAAGTGGTTTTGTTTGTTTTGAACACTGAACAAGAAAAAGACAAAAATCACCTCCACGTATATTTAATAAATGCTACCTTGGGGAGGGAAAAACAAACGTGTAGTGAAGTCATTTTATGGTATTCCTCAAGACGTGTAAATTAAAGTATGTAAAAATATTGCTCCTCAGGTAGTGTCAGTTTAGTTGGAGTCCAACATGATGATAACCTATCATTAAACAGACAATACCACCCACATCTTCCCATATTATATAAATACATTCTCCCAATCATCTGGGAGCAGGGAGAAAGAGGAGGATGAGTCATAAAAACAGTGGCCAGAAAAGCCCTTAAGGTTAGAATCTACCTCCCAGGGGCGCCTGGGTGGCTCGTTAAGCCTGCCTCTCCCTCTCCCACTCCCCCTGCTTGTGTTCCCTCTCTCGCTGTGTCTGTCTCTGTCAAATAAATAAATAAAATCTTAAAAAAAAAAAAAAAGATCTTTATTTGAGAGAGAGAGAGAAGGCAAAAGCAGGGGAGAGGGGCACAGGGAGATGGAAGAAGCAGTCTCCCCACTGAGCAGGGTGCCCAACTCAGAGCTCGATCCCAGGTCCCTGGGATCATGACCCATGCCGAAGGCAGACACTTAACTGACTGAGCCACCCAGGCACCCCTCAAATAAATAAAATCTTAAAAAAAAAAAAAAGACAAGAAAAGAAAAAGGAAAAAACGGCAAGGAAAAAAGAACACAAGAAACCTTGACTTGTAACTTGTACAATATACAAAAACTAACTCAAAATGAATCATAGATCTAAATGTAAAAGCTCAAACAATATAACTTCCAGAAGAAAACAAAGAAGATAATGCTTGTGATACAGGTTAGGCAAATATTTAAGGATTCAAAATAAATAAATAAATAAATAAACCACACAAACCGTGAAAGAAAAAATTAGATAACGGGACATATCAAAATAAAAATTTATTCTTCAAGAGACACTACTAAGAAAATGAAAAGACAAGCTATGGACTGGAAGAAAATATCTGCAAAAGACGGATTTCATAGAGGGCAGCAGCCCAAATCTACTTCTCATAGCTAAATAACAATCACCTGAAAAGATGCTCAACGTTTTCAGCCATTAGGGAAATGCAAATTAAAACTACAATAAACCTCTATACGCCTATTAGAATGGCTAAAACTTATTAAAATAATAACAATGAAAGTTTCCTTTATCAAGTGCTAACAAGGAAGGGAGCAACTAAAGTCCCACACGCTGCTGGTAGAAATGCAAAATGGCAGTCACTGTGGAAAACAGTCTGGCAGTTTTTTATAAGGTCAAACACAAACTTACCATATAACCCAGGAATCCCACTCAGGTATGTACTCAAGAAAAATGAAAATATATGTTCACCCAGAAACCTATAGGTGAATGTTTTCTTTAGTGGCTTTATTTAGATTCACCAAAAACTGGGAACAATCAAATGTTCTTCTGCCAGGTCATGGATAATACGTAAGTTGTGGTCTAGCCACACAGTGGAATACTACTGAGCAATAAAAAGGAACAAATTATTGATACACAAAGCAATGCGGATGAGTGGCAAATATGTCATGCTGAGTCAAAGAAGCAAGACTCTGACAGCTACGTAATGATTCCATTCATGGGACGTGCTAAAAAAAAATAAACTATAGGGACAGACAGCAGAACATGGTTGGTCGGGGAAGAGAACTGACTGCAAACAGGCGTAAGAAAACTTCTGGAAGTGATGGAAATGTTCTATGACTATGACCTTGGTGGTGTCATGTGAGTACATGTTTGTAAGAATCCACAGAATGAGTCACTGAGAAAAGGTGTAAATTTTACATGTATATAAATGATACCTCAAGAAGTCAGGCAAAGCGTTAAATGATGGCCAAAGCCCAACAATTAAAATTAAAAATACTAAATTCTCGGGGTGCCTGGGTGGCTCAGTCATTAGGCGTCTGCCTTTGGCTCAGGTCATGATCCCAGGGTCCTGGGATAGA